TGAAACTGTAAATGCAAAAAAGTGGCACACAACAGTTTCCAACCACAGCAAACTCATCTGGAGTGTCTTCATAGTTTCATTTTTCAGATGCACTCATTTCTGTAAACTGCAGGAAAACTAAAATATTATTTTGCACAGTTTCCAAAAAACAGCATTAAAATAAAAGATTTCCAACAGTGCAGTTTGAGCTCAAAGCTGAGAAACTGTACAGAAAGTCAAACATGACAACAGTAAACCTTTGAAAGACCCTGTAGGGGACAAAACTCCATTTCCCACCTAAAGCGATGTCACTTAGAGCTGGGCGATATATCGAGTTTTTAAAACATATCGATATATTTTTATACGAGATATAAGATGTGACAATATCCTTTATATCGATATAGTCTATGTTACGTTATAATTATAGTTGTGGAGCCGCAAGTTTGCCTCTCTTTCGTCCACTTTTGTCTCTACGCAACGTTACTCCGCCTCGCCTTCACTGAAGACAACTCCCCCTCCTACCCCATCGCTTCACGTGCAGGCAGCGACAAGACGGACACGGCAAATCTCCGTTAACGAGTTACTGCGCATCGCCCCATGCGTGGGGCTGGACGGCGTCAACGTGCTAACGAGCTAAACATGCTAACGAGCTAACCGCGCTAACGAGCTAACAGCGCTAACCCTAAAATCCTTTCATTCTCTCAAAAGTTGACAGCGCGCCTTATGTATGAATTCTGGTTGTGCTTGGTGGCCGCGAACCGATTTTATGTGGTACACGGCGCTCAGCAATCTGTCAAAATGTTTGAGTACGACTTTGGTAAGCTACGGAGCTGCACCGCTTGATAGATTGTCGGCGCATTACGGCTACCGAGGAGCTTCGCGGAGTGATACGTACTGTGCATCAACGTAATATTACCGTACTGTGTGTGTATAAGGACCATAAATGGCACCTGTAAGAGACGTGGTTATGAAGCGGATTTCAAACTCCAGGCTGTCAGTCACACAGTAAAACTTGGGAACAGAGCAGCTGTGAAATCTGTCTGTCTTTGTTATTACGCTCAGCGTCTTTTAGTTTACATTTTGACTGCACAATTGTGAGCTCTTTGTTTAGCACAAAAACAACCTTGTTTTCTTTTATTTATGGAGCATTATTATTTAATAAATGCTCATAATTTAATTTTGAGTAATTTTTCATGTACATCTGTGCTGTATGTTAATAAAAGTGCCTGTGTGACATCTGGGACACAGCTTTGACTAAGAACTCTTTTTGTTCTTACTTTATGGCTTAAAAAAAATATTGAGATATATATCTTATATCGCCATCCAGCTAAAAAATATCGAGATATGAATTTTGGGTCATATCGCCCAGCCCTAATGTCACTTCTGGTTTTCGCAGGTAATGGCGGACATGCAACCCACGCTGACGTTTATTCCAATGTACGAAGTGCAATGAACAGCTGATCGGATCGATAAAGTGCGTTTCTGGATTATAATGCTTTTGATGTTGCGATCACTTGTGCAAAGAGCAGTTTGTGGAAGGAAACTGCGACCCGGGATGAGCTGAATGCGCGTTATGCAAGCACAACTCTTCCAAAAACCCCTGTTGCACTAGTTTATGTGGCTGCATTTCTACCGGGCTTTAAAAATAGTTACGTAAATCTTTAAAGATGGACTTAAAACCTTAACCTCAGAGTTCGCCATTGTCCCCGGTAACATCAAAACCAGAGCGCTCAGTGAATTAATGCGACCGCAGGATTGGTGACTCATTTGTGATGTTTCAGGCTGCGGCACATTTTACTACAGATCAACAGTTTCCCACAGAGAGCCGAGCAGCACGTCAGCTCCTGACACCAAAGTAAATGATCCACACGTTTGTCCATCCAGTGACAGGAAGATGACTTTAGACTTTATACATTAACTTTTTATAGGCGACGGTTTAGTTCGAGACCTAAAAGATGTTCAGTTACTGTTAATAGAAAACAGAGAACATCAGCGAACAGTTACATTTGAAAAGCTGGAATTAATCTGAGCTGTTCACAAAGACGCAGCTGCTTATGCAACTTCAGCCCATTTGGGAGCAATAACACGTCTCCCAGGAAGTTCAAAGGGCCTGAAGGTAACTCCTGCAAACGTGCACATTTAGCCAAACCTAGAGGATGAGCATGGAAACCAACAGGCAGCGTGCTGCAGTCGACCGAGTCGAATAAAAGTGAGAAATGATTTACGACTTATTTCTGTTAAAAGGACCAAAACGATTTTCCACAGGAGAAAAAAACACGAGCTTCATCTGTGGGTCAAACTTCACCCCAAACCTCTGCACATCCTCGACACAGGAAACAACACGTTCACTATCAGTGTGATGAGGAGGGCTCCTACACATACTGTGTGTGATTCACTGATGTATTTATTTTCTTATAGTTTATAATGCTGTAATTTTCTGTATCATTTCATTTACTGCTCGCACGGTCTGGGAGGAACCGTGGCAACATAATTTCCTCTGGGATTAACAAAATATTCTGATTGATTGATCGATAGCTCACTGATGTTTCTGCCTCTGTGAGGAGCTCAAAAACATAAAGACCGGACTAGAGCTGGGCGATATATCGAGTTTTTAAAACATATCGATATATTTTTATACGAGATATAAGATGTGACAATATCCTTTATATCGATATAGTCTATGTTACGTTATAATTATACTTGCGGAGCCGCAAGTTTGCCTCTCTTTCGTCCACTTTCGTCTTTACGCAACGTTACTCGGCCTCGCCTCTCCTTCACTGAACACAACTCCCCCTCCTCCCCATCGCTTCACCTGCAGGAAGCGACAAGATGGACACGGCAAATCTCCGTTAACGAGTTACTGCGCATCGCCCCGTGCGTGGGGCTGGACGGCTTCAACGTGTTAACTAGCTAACCACGCTAACGGGCTAACCACGCTAACGCCATGCAGCCCAGAGGTGCTGCACGGACTAAAATCCTTTCATTTTCTCAAAAGTTGACAGCGCGCCTTATGTATGAATTCTGGTTGTGCTTGATGGCCGCGAACCGATTTTATGTGGAACACGGCGCTCAGCAATCTGTCAAAAAATGTTTGAGTACGACTTTAGTAAGCTACGGAGCTGCACCGCTTGATGGATTGTCGGAGCATTACGGCTGAGCCTCGCGGAGTGATACGTACTGTGCTTCAACGTAATATTACCCTACTGTGTATAAGGACCATAAATGGCACCTGTTAAGAGACGTGGTTGCGAAGCGGATTACAAACTCCAGGCTGTCAGTCACGCAGTACAAGTTGGGAACAGAGCAGCTGTGAAATCTGTCTTTGTTATAGTGCTCGTCTTTTAGTTTACATTTTGACTGCACATTTGTGAGCTTTTTGTTATGCACAAAAACAACATTGTTTTATTTATGGAGCATTATTATTTAATAAATGCTCATAATTTATTTTTGAGTAAATTTTATGTACATCTGCTCTATGTTAATAAAAGTGCCTGTGTGACATCTGGGACACAGCTTTGACTAAGAACTCTCTTTTTGTTCTTACTTTATGGCTTTAAAAAAATATATCGAGATATATATCTTATATCGCCATCCAGCTAAAAAATATCGAGATATGAATTTTGGGTCATATCGCCCAGCCCTAGACCGGACCATCGTTCTGCACTGGGTCCAAAAAGCTTCTGATTTCTAACTTTAATTTATACAGAGTTAGTGACAGCAGTGGTCAGCTGCTTTAGATGAAACCTGAGCTTCTTCTGGATGCAGAACGTGCTTTTAAATGATACGACGACACGATCGCATCCCTGGAGACCGCCGTCAAAAGATGGCGTTAAATTTAATGCTGTTGTTAAACTTCAGATTAAAATCAAACTTGACTTGACAGAAACTGGCAAAAAGAAAGAAAAGCAACACGAGATTTCAACACTTCACACAGCTCCGCACCACAGCCCCACAACATTTGGCTAACCTCACTCAGAAAAGGAAAACTCTCACACACTCACACACACACTCTCTGTCTTAATATCTTTGTGGGGACATCTAATTGACATAATGCTTTCCCTAAACCTAACCATGAAAAATGAATGCCTAAGCCTGACCCTTACCCCAAACCGAACTCTGAAACTAAAACCACATTTTGGGTCTTCAAACTTATAGGGAAAAACTCCTCGTCCCCATAAGGACTGTTGGTCCCCGCAAAGATATGTAAACACACACACACACACACACACGTTATAAACTAACCAATTAAATTCATATTTGAGGCCGTCCTGTTTAATCAATAAATGTATGCAGTGATCCACAACCGGCTTTGAACCACACCACAAATCAGTGTGAATAATTACAACTGTGCGAGTGTGGAGAGCTGCACGATGACTAAAGTGCAACCCAAACGAAAGAGCAGACGCACCTTCACCAGGTGCACACACGTGAATTTCACACCAAATGTGTTGGAGCCCAATTTACTTTTAAATGAAAGAATATATACAAAGAGTCCGAGACGTCAACCGAACTGGAAACAAGTCCGCGCTGTACTCTCATGCAATGCCAATCTGAACCACAAGGTGGAGCTCACGCTACTATCATCACTGTCACTTCTGTTGGTAGCTATGAGCACAGAGACGCTAACATCAGATGCTTTTTGGTAAACGCTGCGACGCATCTTCAAAACTAACCTCACAAAAACTGGAGAGCGGCTTCTTTCGGTCAGATCAGTGCGCTCCTCAGAAACGCTACGTCTGCTCTAATTACAGCAGAATTAACAGGCGGGTATGAGCGCCCAGCAGGGTAACATGTATACGTGACAGAAAGCACATTTACCATCAGAGAAAGCAGCAACAAATGTGTCCACAAGATCTGTGCAAGAAACAGAGGAAGGAAAGATGATGACCGACCGATATGAAAAAATGGGCAGCAGGCAGTGGTAACGGTACAGTGTGGTCTCAGGGTATGAAATGCATTCTGGGATATGACCTCTGGTAGTGAGCAGTAGTGGGATGGTGACATAAAAAGCTGGTACTCACTGCACTTCCTCTAAAGGGAGGGGCTTCACTGGAGGGGGAGGGGCTCTTCCTGAGGCTCCACCTCCTCCTCCGAACTCTGTCCGTTCTCCTCTCTCTCCTCTTCCTCTTTATCTTCTGGAAGCTCAGGCCAGCAGCACTCTGGGTAATCTCCCGCGGGGTCTGAAAGAGGAGAGAGACGTCAGCCAAGTGTGAGAGAAAACTAAAGATGGATCACATCGAGAGTGTGTGTGTGTGTGTGTGTGTGTGTGTGTGTGTGTGTCTGTGTGTGTGTGTGTGTGTGTGTGGATGGCAGATGCAAACAGATCATGTTGAGGTGTTGATGATTGTGAGTGTGATAGCAGGTGTTCCTGAGTGTTGTGCGACTGTGTTTGTGTGGTCTGAACCCAGCACGGGCCTTAAAAACTGCACCACAACTTGGCCCAATAAAGGAGGCAGTGGGTTACCGTGGTAACATGCCAAAATCGAGAAGGGAGGAAGCAACGGAGTGAGAGCGAGACGGAGAGAGAGGAGCACAGAAAAAATAAATGAAAAAATAAGAATCAGAGGAGAGACCGAGCGGCAACCTGAGCACGGAGAAATGAAGCCAACACAAAGCTGCAGTTCCTCTGACGGCCACCGGAGGCTCCACCAGTCAGTCATGCTGGAACAAACATGTTTACAGCCTGGTATGAAAAACTGTTTACCCCTCTGGCACATCAGTTGAAGTAATGCAAAACTCTGAGTTTCAGGCCGTCTGTGTGCAGGGGGCGGGGCATTCTTTCTTTATTTTTTACAGTATTTCCGAACCCTCATTACTTTCTAAGTGCAGGAGATTTCTATGTGAAGTTTCCTGGGCTGCAAAACACATTTAAGCAACAAAACCTATTTAACAACTGCATCAAGTCGCTCAATCTGGTTTTTGTTCAGCTGGATTTGTTCCAGAGTCAGTCCAATCAGAGTGAATATGGGGGCGCCTTGGGGCGGGGCTACTTTGTTTCTCTTTCCTCGCTCATTATGTTCAGTTTTAATACACAGGATATCTGTGTTTGCCACTAGGGGGCGTCTCTCCCTCCATTAAACATCTGAAATATATAGAAGCAGCAGTGACTGAGGCCACAGGTGATCTACCTTTGCCACACGCTGTCGCAGCTGTGCTGCGCTCTGCAGACGACTGTTCGGCAGGAAAACTCGCAGCTCGTTTAATTTAACGAGGCCGCAGCGTCGCCACGGCGGGGAGGTGGCAGAAACAGTTAACCCCGGCTCAGCTTTACGGCAGCGCTCAATCAAATGAGATCAAATGAGACGCCCGGCAGTGCAACGAGGAAGCGGTGCCAGACTTCCTGTCCGGTAGAGGTTCTCCTGAGCTTAATGTAACACAAACGATGGCGTGACTTGGACCACAGAGCCAATCAGCTGTGCCAGGCTGTGCGTGACTACTGAACCCCACAGTTAAGGCCGTTAGCATCCACGCACGAGCACAAGCCAATGACAAGGAACAGGAAGAGGAGACATGAAGGAGGCAATCATCGATCGCTGAAACCCGCCTGCACACGTAAACGCGCTTCATCAGGGTTTGCAGCTTAACAGTGAGCAGTCCTTGGTTTGTTTCAGTGTGTGTGTGTGTGTGTGTGTGTGTGTGTGTGTGTGTGTGTGTGTGTGTGTGTGTGTGTGTGTGTGTGTGTTTGCATTATTTTAGTGCCGTGCTCAGGTTTGCATTAACCACACTGAATCCTCATCTTCAGCCTGAAGGCAAAGCCTGAGTTTGGAGGACGCACAGCAGCTAAAGAGCAGCCAGCCTTCACTACAGGCTGCACTCAGCAGTTTTTCTGCCGCGTGGATCGATGCACTAAAAAAAGCCTTACTCATATAGAAACAAGTTTGTTTTGCAGGGTTCACAGTGTGAAAGCGCTGCTGTAAAGACCTCAGAATCAGCCAGAGTGCCAGCCGCAGTGATGGCGCCCGCAGGTTTGTGAAGCTTTTATTTTAGCATTTTATCCGCTGCCATGTTGGACGAGAGGGTGGAGCAACAAGCTCCTCCATCCATCTCTTTTCTGACACCGAGACGCTCGGGCCTCGAGCTCTTCTGGCGGGACACAGAGGCGTTCCCGAGTCAGGTGACAGTTATGATCTCCTCTGGCATGTCGGGGTCTCCTCCCCGCAGGACGTGGTTGACCGCCATCGCCCGGGAGGCGTCCTAGTCAGATCCCCGAATCACCTCAGCCAACTCCTTCCAGTGTGGAGGAGTGGAGGAGGGGTACTCCGAGCTCCTCCCCCCTCGCTCTGAGGCCGAGCCCGGCGCCTGCTGCTCGTGCAAAGTAACGGAGGAAATACTGCAGTTTCACTCAGCACTGGAGCGCAGCCTCAGCTGCACAGCAAGCTCAGTATTTGGCAGAAAATTTGATACGTGTGTACGAGCACAGAGCGGAGGTTAGGCCCATCGGAAACTTTGGCCCCAACTCTGCATCACGCCTCGCGTTTAGATCAGCAAAATGAGACTTTGGCTCGACGGCGTTTACGGCAGCCGGCTCGTCGCTCTGCACTCGCGGTGAAACGAGGAGCAGAGGACGAGCGTTCAGGTTCAGCGTACCTGATTTTAAGCGTTATTCGTTTCAGGAGTTTTGACCTTTAGAAACTTTCGTTCCTGCTTTCTGTGCAGCACAAAGTCTGACTCATGTTTAATATAATCATTATTTACTCACAGCCAGCCTGGTCACAGATTAACATCGAAACATTATGAAGCTCCTCTAAGAGGGAATCACCGGCAGCATTTTCCCCGCGATGAGCGCCTGTGTGTAGGTTGCTAAAGCTCTGCGAGTGAGTGGATGAGATCATCAGAGGACTGCAGCGCAGCAGGGAGACACACACACACTCAGAGACAACAACAGGTCTTTTCCACAGAGTCTGGATCCCCCTCAGGACTGACCTCATCCTCCATCCATCACCAACCTGATACGAAGCAGCTCTGCTCTGGGACCAGTGTGTGTGTGTGTGATCATCTCCACTCTTACTGTGTTTATTTGTGCTCTCCTGTACAAATGAATGGGCTGTTTGTGTAACGTGTGCATACATATATGGAAATAGAAGCAAAACAGAGTGCGGCGTGTTGGCCTGAGCTCTCTTACACAAGCTTCCTTATCATTTCCTGAAATCATCTTCGGGAACAGTTCTCCACGCTTTCCAGGAAAAAGGGAGCTGCTGTCAGTCGATGCCTTCCAGAAGGTTCTGGTGCGATGCTACTTTTCTCTGTGTTAATAATTCCAGACATTGTAAAAAGAGCTCCGACACCACCGACTGAAATTCAGCCTCAAATCCTGACGGAGCCTCCACCGTGTTTCCCAGATGACTCACACAGATGCTCCATCAGCCCCGTTTCCTCCGATTATCTGTCCTTCTGTAACTTTCATCCCTCAGCCTTTTCTTCCCGTTTCCCTTCCCTACGGTTGGCTTCTTGACAGCCGACCTTCTTCAGACACTGCTTTTGTCCTCCGATTTCTTTAAACTTTTAAGGACACTGAAATATGCCAACATTTCAGCTAACAGCTCTTCAGGAATCAGCCTGTTGGTGCAAAAACACTATTTTATGTCAAACTGTATTATCTTTGGTATTTGTCACAGATTGAACTAAAGAAATGAGAACAAATGATGTGTTTCTGTGACAGGCTGCTGCTAACAAAGTGCCTAAAGATACAATTCTTCTGTTGTGTAGACACAACACCGATTCATCCTTTTCATGCCTGAATGACTCAAATTGCAGAGCTAAGTGAAGGTGATCAGGTACAAAGACCGGAGGGAAAAAGCAGCCCAAGACCAAAGAAAATCTTTGAAAGACCTTCAGAAGGCCGGCTGTGCTGTCTGAGTGACGTGTATGATAATAAAGCACACTGCTCCTCTGCATGCAGCGTCCCAGGTCTCCTGGTGTCTAAGTAAACCGTCGCCCAGGTCATCTGCACGAATGAGCTTGAGCTTGTTGGACCGGAGCCTCCTCAGACTCTTTGCTCTCAAACTCAGTTTCTGAGACTCTGACTCGTGCACACCTACGAGGGCTCTACACCTGCCCGTGTGCACTAACCCTAACCCTTCCACGACACGTTCGGCCGTCCCTGCTCTGTTAATATAAAAGTGTCACCGGGATGAATTCCCCTACACGCTGCACTTCCTGCTGCTGTGGCGTAGCGACTCTCGGATTAATGCCCCGCCGCAGGACGCGGCCTCCGTCTGTTTTGCCGTCCGTACCTCTGTGCCGCCGAGCCGCCTAAAATATATTTAGGCGGCAGCGTTCATCTGGATATTTTGCATATCTTAATTAGTGCTTACAAAACATGCAAATCAGCCGGTCGGCCCCAATTAATTAGCTTTGTGGGCTTTCTCCTGAAGTGGCGGTACTGAGGGGGCGTCTGTCTGTCTGTCTGTCGCTGTTTTTGTCCTAACCTGAATTTAATCAATCGGGTCAATTAAAGCGCAGATTCCTGTTTACAGTAACAGCAGAACAGATCTGAAGGTGCAGGGCTGCTTCCTGTGAAACAATGTCCTCTGATTCGTTTCACACGAGGTTCGTTTCAGCGCCACAGCTCCACTTGTTATTTGTTTTATTAAAACTGAATCACAGTAATTTCTGCAGTGCAAGAAAGATCAGCCGGCTGCAGCGGGAGAGAGGTCCAGGTGTGTGCGGCGAGCACGCCATCAGTGCATGCACAAAAGTAATGTTTGAATTCCACTTTGTCTGCACTCATTTAGCAACATGCCGAGGTCGACCGTACGGCCAGATCCATCCAGCACACAGGACGCGGCTGGATTACAGAGTGCAGCTGACGCTAGCAAGTTAGCATCCGCATGGTAACCCATCACAGACAGACAGGGGGCGCTGCAGCGCCAGCATGTGGTGTGTGGCACCATAACAACTTTTAACTGGCGTTAACATTAAACATCCTCTAGAATAAACTATGAATGATTTGTTTGTGGGGATAGGTTAATTGATTAATCTACATTGACCATAGGAGTGAATGTGAGTGTGAATGGTTGTCTGTCCCTGTGTGTTAGCCCTGCGACAGACTGGCGACCTGTCCAGGGTGTACCCCGCCTCTCGCCCTATGACAGCTGGGATAGGCTCCAGCGCCCCCTGCGCCCCTGAAAAGGAGAAGCGGATGGATGGATGGGTGATTTGTTTAACTGCTACCCACTTT